CACTTCAGTCATGGGGAATATTCTTTGCTCGCTTTCTGAATAAAATTTATTCCCAAATTCATTACTAAGATAACCAGTGTGAAGACGTATATAATGAATTCTGTTAACCAACATTACTAATCATTATTACAATATCAAGGACAGTAATTGACAATGATTTTTGTTATAATATTCCAACCTTTCACTGTTGCTATTCTGATTGGTTGATTGATTGAATGAATTGATTTATTTAAATATTTGACAAAAGTTCAAATGCACCAGGAAATCACTTTTAAGGGACAACTATTGACTCTTAAAGGAATAGTTCACCCAAAATAAAAATTTGCTGAAAATTTACTCTCCTTCAGGCCATTCAAAATGTTGATAAGTCTGTTTCTTCATTTGGAATAGAAATTTAACATTACATCACTTGCTCAGCAGTGAATTCACAACAGGAAAATTTATTTCTGACCCTGGCTATCCCTTCTCTCTTCATTAGGTGTCACTAGAGGGACTGCGGCCCACCATCCCGCCAGGCATTTCGCCTCACATCTGCAAGCTAATGAAAATCTGCATGAACGAGGACCCTGCCAAGAGGCCCAAATTTGACATGATTGTGCCCATCCTTGAGAAGATGCAAGACAAATGAAACGGCCCTGCTGGACGACCCCTGCAAACACTGAGTTCACAGTATTGCCTTAAAATCCACCACTCACCAAAGTGCTCTATGCCACTGTAGCCCTCTGCTAAAGAAAAATGCTTTGTGGAAACGCTGTTGAACATTTTTAAAAGCCACGTTCTCATTATCGCCTATATTCTTATATGCAATCATTGAATAATGACATGTGTTTGTGCATATAAATGTTCATCAGTCCTTTTCTATAGCCATTAAACAGGAAGTGGTGGCCGCAACAGTCCTTGGACGCAGTGAATGTACAGTAAAATTAGTTTTCAAATCCACTCCCACATTTTATGCATCCTTTTGCTCATTTCACTTCGTTAAAAAGACATCACAGATCATTTCATCAGCTTAAAATCAAAATAATTTGCAAATGTGTGTACAACAGCCATTGTTAGTATTTAAAGCATCATGCCATTGTCTTTCACTGTGCGTTTTCTTTGGATTGTCCCTGAAAATAAAAGTCGATAGGCTGAGTTTGCCTGAGATTTGTTTAAAAAAAAAAAAAAAACACTGCAATAATGCAATGGCTAATGCCAGTTTTATGCCTTATGCAAAAATTAACCAAAATATGAAGTGCCCATAATATCATGATTGTACTGTCTCTCTCATAGCAGGGAGATACATATTATAAAAACATGTGATGTTAGATTAAGGTACCATATGTTCAAAGGAAGAGCCATTTACACACGTCACATCAAATGCGAGAACTCGCTTGCCACATGCATGATGAGTCATGTCTCTTCTCCTTGCTCCAGAAATCTACATATTTACTTGATCCATACAAATGCATGATTGCTACGTCCTCTGTTGTTACTAACACTCCTCCTGCTCCTGTATTCTAATTTACATTACATGTTAAGCATGTTACGTCTGAGAGATTTTTATACTGTATACAATTATTAGTGTTTTTTCATGGGTGATACATTAGGGAGCCCATGAGTGCCTTTATTTTTTTGCTTTTCTAAACACTACATCTATTTCCTTCTTTATTTTGCTTTTATTGTGTTCCTCTTTTCAGCTAGCCATTATATAATAGGAAACCAAGAGACGAAAACAAGCATACTTTACATGCATAAATGTATCCTTTTTTTATT